GAAAGAAAGAAAGAAAGAAAGAAAGAAAGAAAGAAAGAAAGAAAGAAAGAAAGAAGGAAAGAAAACACACCTCAAAAGCCAATTAAAAATCAGGATAAAAGAAGAGACTTAAAAGAATGGTATAAGTTTCAATTTCATTAAACTCTCCGCATTGCATTTTTTAACCCTAAAATATCGACTTTATTTATGAAGATTAGACTGCAAATAAATAAATATATTACAAAAGGTTCACATTTAATTTCCTAATTCACAGGTTCCCTTTCTTCAATTTCTTGTTTAGAATCAGAAAAGTACAAACTTTCTAGTTCAAATAATGGATCAGCAACTTCATCATCTTTTGATAAACAATCATAATTTTCTAAAAGTTTGTTAATTAATTCTATATCTTTCAGATTTAATGCATTAAAATAACTTGTGGATGAGCCGGCCAAGTTGTAAAAAAGTCACGTATACGAGAACGTTGTGTCTGATGGACCCATTAACAACTTTGAGCGGAATACCAAACCACGTTTTTCTGATAAACTCAAACTAATGGTCGTCATCTGTTCAAGACAATTCAATTTGCAGGTAGACAGGTGGATAAGTTAAGAAATAATTTTGTTTACTTCACAGATGGCTTTAAAGATGTCACTGGCTCTTCAGACCCAACATTCCCATTGCTGGGTAAATAGATATTTTTATATTTCATCATTATAAACAACCTTTTTCATTACAAGAAATTGTTCTTAAAATGACACCTTATGACACAGATTAACATATTTGCCATTTATGGCATGAATAATTGCAGCATCACACACTGAGCCAGTTACTGCTACAGAATTCTGTGGTTGGTAGCAGTTAACCGAACAGCCAACCACGTTTTGTTTGGCTATGTCAAATACCTGTGACACCACAATAAAGCGTTTTATGTGCTTTAAGTAATTTAGCATGCTATAGAAAAAATTTGGAGTCGAGAAAATCTTGTTTTTGTAAGTTTTGAAAATTGTAAATATTGCACGCAATATTGCGTGAAAACTACCAAAGTTTCAAAAAATGTTCATGACTTAAATGAAATAACTTAGAACAAATTTCATTTGAAGGAAAAATCTCTATTTTCAATTTTGTAGTTGTAGGAAAATGCTGAAAAAATTTATACTTTTGAAATTTTGCGAAAATTCAAAGTTAACCATGCAAATTGGACCTCTGCCACCCTTATAAGTGTATTTTACTCTATTGTTACAAGAAATTTAAAGAAAATTTGGTGCTGGTTTTGAGAAAATTATGAAAATGTCCCTAGGGCTTCATGTAAAGCACCCTCGAAATTTAAAGAAAGTTTTTCAAAAAGTTAAATCTACAACTTGAGCCAGATGGACCAAGGATTCTTCAATTTGGAAAAAATCCTGTATGATTTAGGTGCCAGTGACATTCATCGATGTTTTGCGGCGTCAGGAGACCCCAAAACATGAATTTCCGTTGAAATCTTGATATCGATTTTCCGCAGCATTACATAAGTTTCTCTATACTAAGTATATTACTCCGTATATACATATGTACATGATAAACTAAAACGGAGATAAAACAATGATGATGACAAATGAAATAGAGAGCACAAAAATTGAAGATTGATAAAGGAGAACACGGGAGCCTTTTCTGCATCCTCCATCAGGAAATGGACTGACTCACCTCCACAGGAACTATGGACAAACTTCATTAATGATTTTCCTGCAGGTAAAACATGATTGAGAAATCTAAAAAAAATTAATTATAAAATAGTACCCAGGGCAAGTCATTTCCAGTGACAAACCATACTTCATCACTTCAATTAGGTGATCAAATGTTGCATTTAGCTGAGAAATGCTTTATTTCTACACAGCAGTTTCTTCAAGATTTCTCATGTATCATGTCTTTGGTTGTGCGTAACTTGAACCAAAGCACTAAGGATATATTTTTACGTATTGCCAAAGATCTTTTTTTATTGGTGACAAACGATGAAATGATAAATTAGGCACAGAATTGTATGCATATGATGACAAGGTTGTACTGCATTTGGCCCTGCGATCACACTCAAGCTCACCAGCCACCTTCTCAATTGGATTCACTGTTTATAATTCTTAAAAATGACTTCCCCTACCCTTGGAACCCTCTACAGCACTTCCAGTCTTGGAAATGCTCCTCAGTTCCCGTGAAATAGAGGCTGCGACAAAATTGGAAAATTATAAAAACCCTTTCTACAACATCTATGCTTCTGAAGTCAAAACACAGTCAAGAATTATTTACTGCTAATATTAAAAGGATCAATGTAATGATTTTCCACCTGACATTAACACTTTTTTTCTTCAAAAACAAGTTTTAACATCTATTAAATCCTTATTTTCACACTAAAATTTGTGTATATCTCCAAAATATAAAATTAAAATAGCAATACTGCACAAATGTGTTGAACATTACATGATGCAGGAATAAAACATCAATAGGATAAGGCTGACTGAAATAACAATACGAATATTAATGTATTTCTATACCTTGCCACAGCTTATCCACAATTCGAGCTGCCAAATAACACACATTTGGTGCAATGTACTGTGATCCTCCTCCAGGTACAACAGGCAAAGCAGCTTGTTCACCAATGAGAACGTCAGCAGCAAGTAGATGCTCCATTAATGTACCAAGGACTTCAGTCTGATAACGTGTTGTCTGAGCTCCACTAGCATTGTCTGGAGATGCCTACAATATATTAATAATATTTAAATTTAATATATTATATAAATATAGGTATATGTATGTTTCTATGTGCCACAACAACTTAAGAACCACATGAAGGATTGCTCCTAAATTTTGTACAAATACTTTTTAACATCCACAAATCAAATATTGCGTAGAGACATGGAAAAATGTTACTCCAAAATTTGTTTAATCCCTAATACATAAGAACGATATTGTTGACAGGTAAAATGGGGGAGGGGGGAGAAGCAGAGCGAGTGGGTGGAAGGAGAGTGAGAAACTTGTGTAGCAGAAGGAATGGGGCTGAGCAGAATTGGGGCAGGAGCACAAAATGCAACGAGGAAGCGGTAGGAGGGAGGGTGGAAGGGAATGGCAGAGAGGGAGGAAGCGGAGCGAAGCAGAGCCGCAGCATGCAGCTTTCTCCAGAACTCCTAGGTTGCTTAGGCACTGATAGTTGGCAACCGGAAGGTTGGGCAAAATTACAGTGAATTTATAACATTACGTGCAGACAAGGAGCCTTAAGGTTCATTTCTGGTAAAGGTAAAATTCCAAGGTCACTGCCACCATTAAATAAAGCAAGAGCTAAAATGAAACATTGTAAAATGATTTTGTGAATAGAAGTAAAATTTTTTTTATTGTATAAATTAACTCAAAATCAAAGATTTCTCAGATGTCTGAGTCCAGAAGATTTGTAATTTTGTAAATTTAGTAAAATCTATCTAAAGAGGAACCTGCCTAAGCTGGAAATCTGTCTTAAACGGAAAACTTCTCCAGACAGTGAAGTTAAATAGCATTTTTTTACAGCATAAAATAGAACCTGTCTGACACAGGAATGGAACTTTATAAATGCAGAACTTTATAAAATGGAATTCCTGTGGAAACAATGCAATTGGCTGTGCAACACAATATATTTTTAATGAAATTAATGCATCTGCAAGTCTGTTTTAAATACTTTATCCCTGGAACCTTTACCCCTTAGCCATGACAGTTGCACAGTGAAAAAGAAAGGCTTTTATCAGCATAGAATTCGATTTTGGGATCGCTTGCCTCTCAAGGCATAGGCCGTGAAAAAAAAACATAAAACGAGAACTTTAAATTAAAAGGTCAAACTTACAGAAGCAAGAGAAACTCAAAAGCTATCAATGAACAATGTTTAATATTCATTTATTGGTGATTTCTTCCATAAATATGTTATAATTTAAAGAATTTTAATAATTGTAATAATCATGTAATTTACTAGTTTTAGGGTGGAAATATCAATATCACAAGTGTCAAAGTGGACAACCATAAATAAACCAGAACTTCCTCCTAACCTCAAATATTAATTCCCAAATGATTCCGGCTTAGATAGATTTTACAGTAAATACATTACCAAATTCATCAAAAGGAGAAACAAAGGTACTCAGTTATTTTTGGATTCTCAGTATTGTTTTTAGTGATATCTAGATACCATTTCATCTTTCTCTCAGACAACCAAGTTTACCACATCAGGGCATCATTTGCACAACTCGTGCAAGAAAAACATTTTCTAAAGTGTCCCACACTGGCCTTCCTCGTAACTCTTAGTCACCACTTTGGTGCAACAGAGAAAGAGGTGATAAATAAACACAGATCACTTAGAGAGGGGACCACTACGATACGTAAACTGTGGCATACCTTACATGCAGAACTGAGAATACAGCTACCTATATGTCATATCCAAACAATGTGGGCAACATTTCATCTGATATATTGAACCTTTCATTAGAATCAAGAAAAGTAATGTAAAATTTTAAGTTATCCAGATATTATATCCTAAACAGGGAAGGCAACATTTCATCTGATATATTGCAATTTTCATCAGTGTCAAGTTAAGTATTTAAGTCAAACAGTACACACTTTTCAGTATTCTTATCTGAAATTACTTTTATCAAATGTCAAATTACTTTTATCTTAATTTCTATTTTTTCATAGTACATAGCTTGAATCATCTATTCATATATTGTTTAATTTTTACTATGAGTTAATTTTTATCTGTTTAATTAATTTGTTATGTAATATGTTTAATATGTTTTAGTTTCGAATTAGGTTATCATGGTCAGCGATTAACAATTTTAATCAAAAAATAATTGTAACAAAACTAATTCAAACATCATTTTAGACTCCTTAAAATGCAAAATTTACATCCTGCATTCTCCTCCATCTTTGAGTCTTACAGAACCATCTAAATAGATTAATAGCCAACTGAACCAATAGATAAAGAACAGGCCGAACAATCATTTGGATTAGAATGTCAATGTAGATACACAAGAGAACCAAAATTGCCATTGCAATTGCCAAAGTAATTTCAAATATACAAAATAAACACAGCATACTTACATCTAAAACCAGATCTATTACCGGAGGTCCTTTTCCAGACACAGGAAGTGAAAGAGAATCCACTACTATCACACGCAGAAAATCCATTACAAATTTCCTTGCAGGATGATTACTAAGGCCAGCATCTTTTGAGGGAGATCGCACAAGAATTGCTGTTTCTGATCCAGGATATGTCTTAAAAAGAAAGTTATTCGATACATTTTTCAACTCCAAAACATTAAAATATTACTTTACTTGCAATAGTACAAAATGTAGCAAATATACATATACAATAAACTAATTCAAAGCAATGTAATAAATTTAAGCAACAGGAATTTTAAATATTTTTATTACTCAGTTAATGATGTCACAGTTAGGTGTTCAATTAATCCAAAAAAAACTTAAGTTAATGTGGATGTGTAGCTGCTTCATAAAATTAATTAGTAAAGCTATAAGAGCACATCACAGGTGATTAACTTACAACATTCAAGCCATGCAATTCAGTTGTTCTATAATTTAAAATGGCAACACTGTGCATGTGCCAAAATTCTGATTTGCGGTTGCTAAGGATTCAGCATTGATTTTAACACCTGACAACAATCTGTCAACATTTTAATTTTATTCATAATGTATTAAAGTTACATTCAAAATGATATATTAGGCAGTCTGTGGGCTTTTAATGGAATTAAGTATCTTAAGTATAGACAGTCAACTGTCAGTTAAAAACTTTTCTTTAGCCTATAAGCTTATTCATAATAAAGTATTACTAATTACTTTAAAATAATGAATACATTTTAAAATAAACAACATGTTTCGAAAATAATGTTTTCTCCTTAACACCACTTATCCTCCATAAGAAAATCAAGCATTTTTTAGGTAATATATAGTTGATTCTCAAAGATGAAATTTTTTTACTAAGTTTGGTATTTTAGCAATCTTTTATGAGTGCAAATTTTTGTCAGTTCCCCCAACATAAATATTTTAGCTACTTTGATATTTTTCATTTAAAAATAACACGTATGGTAAAACCACTGAAAAAATTAAAGTTGTGATTCTACCTCTTCGTTGAGAAATTACTCTCTGAAATTAGAACTTTGTTCATTTTTGAATTGATTGAGAAATGTCAGTTTTGATTGCAAACATTACCTATATAAAACATATTAGATGGGTAAATAACACTGGTTTGTGGGCCAGAATATATTGGATCCAATACTTTTTATTTTAAAATGCTAGAACAACCCAGCAATGAGTAATTTAGAAAGCCGTAATTGTCTACAATTGTGAAAAATGGCAAGTAACTCAAAACAAAAATGCCTGACACTTGTAACCACATTCAATAAATAAACTTTTTGAGGTGTTTAAACAACAACAAAATATATGGGAATTTAGTGTATTCAAACTAGGATTCTGAGATAGCGAAGTGACCAATTTACTTCATTCTGGATCACTTAAAATGGTACAGAAAAGCAAGTGTATATGTCAAGGGCCCACATAACGTATTTTTTCTGCCCCTTTCTTTTCCAGCAGCATTATATAGCTTTACACTACATACACAAAGTAAAAATAAGATTTATAAATCAATAAAAATAAGAGAAATAAAAAAACATGTCACATAATAAAAAATAAGTCAATTAAAAAAATATGTTGCAAATAGATGCCCTGTTATAAATTAATACTCGAATCAAGTATTACACAAATTGCCCAGATTTGCTGAATGAATTCAGAATTCAAAACTCTACTAAAATTTGTAGCAGAAATATGCAGTCGTTTGAAAAATAACCTGATTAATGTGGAACATGTATAATGTGGAATTCTGTCTAATGTGAACTTAAATCATGGTCCTGCCAATCACAAATTCTACAGTATTACATTGCATACAACAGAATCTCGTTGAATACAGAAAAAAATTCAGGTCCCTTGAAGTTTCACAATGTTACAAGGGAGCCATCTCTCTCCTGTGGCAGGGATGTTAAAAGATACACAAGTTCATAGTGCACAACTTGATCACATTAATTTTCATTATGCAAAATTGAAATTCATGGTTATTAAATAACCAGAGACCATGAGCCACTTAGAAACATGAGATGTGGGAAGAAGATCTAATAACAGGACAGAATGTTCTCAGGTGGTGTTGGGTAAGACTTAAGAAAGAAAAAAAATGCACAAAATTTTCAAGGGGAGGGGAGCTAAAAAGTCAAGAGGAAGATCAGAAAGAAAGAATGAAATAAGAAGATTGCAGCAACAAAAGTAACAATGATTTTAAGGAACAAGAAAACAGTGATAGCTCAAGCAAAATGATTACACTTTCAAGACAATTTGCAATTAAATTTTGATTAGACAGTAATAATTAATTAAAAATGAAGGGAAAACAAACCCAGGAGGTCCCTTCAAAAGAGGGTCATCTTATATATACAACCATCTTACATTCAATTAAATACAAGAATTGAAAAAATTTACTTAATATACACTTATGTCCATGCCGACATGCAAGGTCACTCTACCTCACTGCACTCACATACCTCTACAATTGAGAAAAAGACAATAACAAGCCCAGACAGTCAATGCGAGAGACAAACACAGAGTGAAGCAGAAGAAATTGGAAAAGTGAAAATAAAAATCGGAACAATGAACAGTAAGGCAAAGGAAGTTGTTCACTAGACATAAATACTGTATTTACCAACATAAAAGAACAGGCTTCTTCCAAAAGTTTCATTCGCAAAATAGGGGGTTTTACAATACAAGTTTGCAAAGAATTCTTGCAACCACCGTGCAGCCATTGTGAATTTACCAGACGATTCCGACCAATATTTTTGAATGGGCCGATAAAGAGAGAATCTCAAATGAACAGCATTTCATCAAGTAAAAAGAAGTGTGAAAATGAATAAAAATTATTGCTGAGATTTTTACATGGTCCACTGATCAACAAGGCTACATTGAGGCCATATGGACTCTCGGTTCGATGCCCAGGAGTGTGAATCTGCATTTTGCAAGAGATGGAAATGAAAAAATCACATTGATGGAGGTATGCATTCTACAGCCAATTACAAAAAAGGGCAATAATATTTCTTTAGCACAAACTTTCCAAACTTGGAACTGTCTCGTTATCAGCAAAATGCAGAAATCAAGATGGAGTTGGCAGTTCACAACTCTTTCACATGAAAATTAACTGATAGAAATTTTAAGTTCACTCTGTTAAAGAAAATGAAAGAATTGCTAACAAATCAGAGGCCACAAACCAGAGAGGGACAGGAAGAAAATGGGGTAACACAGAAGAAAGAAAGACAAATGCAAATTCAACATGCAACGTTAAGGGAAGGGAACAGGGGTAGGAGCTAAAAGGTCAGAAGCTAAAGCTGTATGGAAGAATCAAAAAGAAATAAGCATATGTGAAGATAAAGAGGGTAGTGACGAAAATCATGATGATTTTAGAAGTGTGTGAAGAAAATAGGAATAGCTTAGGAGTTTGTTATTTAATCACTCTCTTACACAAAACAATTTTCTAGTCAAATATCCAATTTGAAATTTTATTTTGACTAAATTGTAAGAATTATTTTTTTTTAAATTTAAAACTCTCAGGAATTCTTAACAAAACCAGGGGGTTGTCTTATATTCAGGGAAATACAATAATTGCAAGTATAAACACGAGAGTGAGAAGCGATCATATTTATGGGCATGGTAATTCGAGAGGTACATACATGCACAGGTATATGAAAAATATAAAAAACTTCAAGGACAACTGTAGAATTTAACACCTGTCCCATTTATGTGATTAACTACTACTAAATAATTATGTTAATTTAAAAGAGTACAGAATTAAATTACCTTCACTTCATCACTTGGTGTAGATGCGCCACTTCCAGCCTCACTACCTGACTGTCTAGGAAACAATGTTCCTGCTAAAGCACCAAGTACATCTCCTCCCATAAATGCAGGCATAAAATCAGCAACATTATGATAGAGGAAGAACAAGAATTGTATGATAGTGACTGGATAATCCCTCAGCCACTCAGGGAGACTGTCAGGGCTAAAACAAGAACGAAAAACATTTTCAAACAAAAAGAAATAATGAAAAGAAAATCAGTTTGACAAAGTAAAATAAAGGGAAAGTAGAAAGAAATAAGTCACCAGAGAAGAAGTAAATTCCAAACAACTAACTTCATTAATCATAGCACCAATTACTGTGTATTCTAAAACAATACTTCTTTAAACATTGCCACAGGAAAAGTACACGACAACCATTAAAGAGTGTCATAGAAAAGGATTTAAGAAGCCCATTTTCCAAAAAGTTCATTTTTCTTAATAAGTGATCTATGTACTATTGCTAATGGTCTCAGAAAAGATGAACGTGTCAGAGTGCTTGATTGAAGAGTCCAATAATACTGCTAAATACTAATAGTACTGGTAATTACTCACATTGTACCTGGTAATGAAAAGGATGCAAGTGCCTCTGCAAACTTGCCAAGCATTTTGTGCTAATCTACATGTAGTGTTTTAGTTTGATGTACTGATACTACATATTTTGTAGTGTTAAGGAAAATTATATGTCAAAATGAAAGCTCTTTACATATTCCCTAATAAAGTTTTATTGGCAGTTTTACAGAAGTACTACCGTTTTATTGTCAGTTTTCTTGAAGGAATTTCAAAATTTGGTTTTGAGGAGGAGGTCACATATGAGCAATACTCTCACTACTGAAATAAAAATATGAAAAGATGCAGAAAAACTCCTTTTGATTGCTAAGAAGGATCATCATCACAGGAAATCAAATAAAGTTCCAAAGGATTTTTCTGCTTATATAATATGGCATCCATTCCCTACGAGTGCTCATAAAACTGTTGCAATAAATTCTGTTCTGGTGGTCTTAAAGAGGATACTAAAATGCAATTCGAAAAATATCACTGTCGATTGGGCACAGTACACGCAAGTGACAAAGGGTATTTTCATTTTGTTCTGTTGGGCATTGTTGCCAGAATTACCTGATGTATACTGTAATAAATAAAATAGTGGCTTGGTGTTGAATAATGTTTGCAATAAAGAAATAATAACTTTCAAACATTTCATTAACATTTAAACCGTGAATCTGAATTGAGACAATTTGTTATTGCTTCATGTGACCTGCTATTATTCCAATAATTTTACATTTATTTCTTTTATTTTAGTTATTTCACATCTTATAGTGCTTTTTAGTTTACTTCAAGCAACAAGAATTGTACTTCAGCTCCTGGGACAATGACCTCCCTCCCAATCCATTGAGCAAAGGTAGGTGCATTGGTAGGAGTACTTGGGGATATGGGTTACTATTTTGTTTACAATACTAAAAACTCAAATCTATAGTTTGTTTACCAATGCAAATAAATAATCCATAACTCAGGAGAGAAAATGTCTAATTTTCATAAGTTGCTAACATCGTTTTGTGGGAATTTCCATTCATCTTTTAACTATTTATGGCTAAAAGGTGGGCAAGAGATTCTGGAGCTCAAGAGAATGTGAGCAGATAGTGCTTTTCTCCCATATATTACATATAGTTTTCACTGTTCTTTGGCAAAATATATTAAATCAAATCTAGCAATTTTAGTTAAGGTATTTTAAATAGCTTCTTCAGTATTAATTTTCTTTGTGTTGTGCCACTGTTTTCCTTTCTATCATTTTTTGATTGACCTACTTTATATCATTGCAGACCCTTTGTATTGTAATCAATTGGCTGTGTTAGTTGATTATTGGATATTATTTACATAAATTTACCTTTAATTGTTAGCTTTCATAATATAATACAGTAATTCTTTCTGATTAAAATATCTTAGTCTCATATCATTTACAATAAGCTTCTAGTTAGTTTAATGATAAGTTTTTTTTTAATTTATTAGTTCAGGGTTCAATTAATTATTTTTCCTTTATGCTTATTTAATTCAATTTCTTTATAGTGAGTTATTTCAAAATTAGAAATGCCTAAACCCAGTACATCTAGCCCTGCTCTCTTGTAAAGATCAGAAGCATTCAAAGTTAGTTTCAAAAGAGAATTGAAAATTAACATCGCAGTTTATGATAAGAATTAGTGGATGAAGAGACTCGTGTCATACACGCCTTTGTTACATCATGAGGGATAAAATTTCAAGTGATGTGTTGCTGGTTGTGTCAAGTTTGTGTTGCTGGTCCTGATTTTTTTTAATGGTTTATAAGAGACATTTTCCATATTTAAATTGTTGTTAATGATCATTATCATGAAACTGAATATATAATTATATTTTCTAGAGATATTGTGTGAATTTGGATGGGTGTGATCTCTCAGTAGACAGTAACGTAAGTGCTTACTTTCAATTCCAGAAATATTACACAAAAATAAATAAATGTAATTAGATTTAATTAGGTTCTAATTTTTTTTATCAATGTTATTTTCACTATTCAGTCATTTCAGTTTAAGTATTGAGTTTGCTATCAGTTTTATTATCCTCTTTGACCTCATGTATTCTTTTTCAAGGTTCTACAAAAGTGGAATAACTATGTGGAGTCCACCAAAAAAATTATTTTATATTCCAAGAAGAATGATGAAAATGTCACTGAAGGAAAGAAACTCTAAAGTATGGGAAGAGGATACTTATGACAGTGAGGGAGAGTAGACATAGTAAAATATTCAGGAAAACTAAAATTCTTACTCTTCTGAATGTTATTCAGGTTAATTGATTTCAACTTCAATTTGTAGAAGAGAGTACTAATTTTCATTCAATTATTTTCTTCAAGTCATTTCATTAGGTTTTAGGTTTTTATTAATTAAATAAATCATTAAATTTCATTGGCATATTACATTAAGTACAACTGTATGTGATCATATTCCATTTTTTAAAAGAATGATGTTTTGTAAATTAATGCAAGATATTCCTCATCATACTCATAGTTATTAATGTTCACAAATTTACTTAATAGCCTTGGCCAAAATCAGTTCCTTGTTGTACAATACCTCTCATTACCAGAATTTCTTTAGCACAAGTCCCATTAATGTAACTTTTGAACTTGGAACTCTCTTTGTCACTAAATGTCAAATACATTATAAATGACTTAATGGCAATTTCCTAATAATAATACTACAAAATTTGTTTCTTATCTACTATAAATTGATAATACTTATCACAATTGCAAGTTAAACTGATTTAATAGACAACCTACTGGAAAGAGAAAATATGATCTTCAGAGTTCTAATTTTCTAAATCAATGTATTTACTATACAAGTGCATGTACCCAGAGCTACGTATTGTGATGCGACTACACAAATCACGTGTATAAAACAAGCTTTTTATGTTGATAGTATTTTTCATGTATCAATTATTTTTATTATAATATAAATAATCATAATACTTATTATTATTATTAAATTTTATTATTATTATATTATTATTATATTTCTATTATTATTATTACTATTAGTAGTAGTAGTAGTAGTAGTAGTAGTAGTAGTAGTAGTACTTATTATTGAAAAATGCCTCCCCGTAACATACCTAAACACACCTATACATTTATGTTGTAACAAATAATTCTACCAGAGGAAGTCTGTGTTAGGTAAGAACAAACAATCTTATTAATTAAATCTTGTTACTTATATTATTTATATCATTAAAATCCTTGCAATATAAACAATTATTACATTACATTAAATAATTATTGTTACTCTACCATTACAATGTGTAATAAACATAGAAGATTGATAATATACCGTTTTTACAGTTATATTTTTATTTGCACGAGACACTCATCAATTTTTCAGCTTGAAAACACTGATGTCTACCTTTTATACACTGTACACTCAATTCACACTCTTTTGCGGATAAGATGTTTAATTCTAACAAAAGACAAAGCAGAAAGATTATCACATAACAAAAAACCCTTCCAAGGCAGAGAAAGCCTTGAATGTCTATTATGGAAACAAGTGTATCAAGCAAGGGGTGGTCAGTTTTACAAGTTTCATTAGTTAGCTGTTCTGATCAGAAATAGGTTCAGACACCATATTGCAAATTCATTCCCAATTCTTAAAAGCCTTGGACAGTATGCAGCAAATTTTGTACATGTCCAGTTTCACACATAGTAATATATTCCATGTGTGTCAAATAACAGGCAACATTTAAATCACTTGGGGAATTCTTCAACAAGCTAAATAAATGTGAGATCAAATTATTGTTTGCCGCTGAAGGCAATAACTTTGCTTCATAAATTCTGAAGATATTATCTACCCAGTTCACACATAAAAGGAAGCTGTGAGATTTGCTGTGATAACTGGGCAAAACCAAACAAGAACATAATAATTTTGAATACTCTATTGTACCTTGTGTTTAAGGAATATTAGAATTCCATTACCTTCAATTTCTTGTCTGCAGACTCCTATCTGGGCTGCTATAGGGATTTTGGAGGGACTCAGAAAAGAAAATGAGTTTACAAATGTATGGTATTCAAAGCTATTCATAACAGTGTGAAGATGGTAAAGCTGCAAAGTCCATTTTGAAGATATTACAAAAGAACAAAATATATATATAAATGATATGTTGTATGTTACAATGTACCCAGGTACATTGAAAATAAGCAGCATGACTAGTGTCTAAGTTGCACAGCAGATTTACTACTGATTAAAACAAATACTTTCTTTAGTAACATTAAAGAATAGAAAGTTTGAGGTTCTCAATATAAGGAAATTCAATCCATTCAAGAACATGGAGGCTTTTAACATTAGCAACAACAAAAATTGCTTTTAATTAGTGAAAAGGAAAGAATAATTTAGTGGAAATGCTCCAGTTTATTTTATGAACATTGCCCATTGCCTAACTTGTGCATAAGCCATTTTATTCCCTATATCTCTGTCATTCTTACAAATGGAAAACGAAAAGAAAACTACACTTTAAATCTGACAAAATAAATGTCAGTAATTTTTCTCCAAAGGATCATTGATAGTGTCATAATGAGTAACATTGAAAGGCCTAATGTGAACAAAATATAATATGAAATAAAATAAAGTAAATACATACACAGAAAAAGGGAGTGATGGGGAGGGGAGGCAGAGGTACATTGCAATACTCAAATACATTTCCTTTACTATCAAAGCAATTGTATAGAGAAAATCACAGGTAAAGGAAAGTTAAAAAATATTGGTTTTCATTTCTTATTCACATAAACAATAAACTAACATACCTTTTTCCTTCTTGATTCAACATTGTTCGGACCATTCCAAGAAGGACCATTACTGCTTCAGGGCATAAAGTTACTTTCCCTAGCACAGAAGTAACTGACTGACTTGCAGGCACTCCAAACATAAAATTCCACACATTATCCAAGTCAAGCTGTGGATGCATAGAAGAAATTTAGTAAACAATCAAGTTATTAAATTACACTATAGAAAGATTATTAACACAAACCTTGGAATCAGCAGGTAATAATTTCACTGGTTGACCCATCATCAATGCCATAAGTAAAAAATAAACTTCAGGTACATCAATATGCTGGGGTAACAACCATGCCAGGCGTTGAAACCCTGGCACATGGAGAGCCTCTGATTTCACCTCACGAGGAACAGGAATTTTAGGAGCAGCAGCTCCAAGTTGATAGCCTACAAATACAAGTATAAGGTGAGGATGATGACCTAACATTACAAACTTCAAGGCACAATAATTCAAATATGGCAATCTCTAAATTATATACTAACAGGTGTGATTAGCTCATGTGTCTTACTATTTAACATTTATAAGCATTTATCCAGGCTAAGGTACATGGATTTTCAAAGATCCATAAGGCCACATTCTTCTTGGAAAGTGTAAAAAAACTCAAGTTAAATGTCTAGCAACATTAAATCTCCTGATAGCTTCCACCCTAACCACTACTCACTAAGTATGGAAATGATTCAAGTAAGAAATATCATTTTTAAATCCCTGGCAACAAATATGAAAATCAGAAGTAAATGCCTGAAGGTCCGTAAGGTGCCAATTAAAAAGTTCTACTAATAAAGCTCATCTCAAGATTGAAACATTATTTCCAAATCGCAGACTTATTAACATCTACAACTACAAAAACAAATTACAGCGAATTGAAATGTCAATTTTTTTTAATGTGTATTATTCTGTCTTACTATTTCACTTCAAACTGTACAAGATCCCATTGAGTGTAACCCATTGAGTATAATGATCCCTAAATGGGGTGAATATCTGTCATTACTACATTACTATTGTTAAGAAGTTTTTACACCATTATACTATTCCTACACTTATTTCAATAACCGATCCTTTGAGAATCTGTTCAGTTCTCAAACTCATGTTTTCATTGGTTTAGCATTTTTAGGACAAACATCTTATAATTCTGACCTAATTCCAATATTATTGCGAATTAAATCCTTGAAGTAACAGTCATTCTACAATGACATTCTCTTTTCTATCCCCATTAGGGCTCATGGTAGTCGACATGTAAAACTTTCATTGTAGTTGGCACATTGTAAGAACTTTCACTGCACGTTCCATTACGCATAAAAGTGTCCAAGTCCCTTCAGCCTCTGTGCAATAAATTTAAGTCAAAGAAAGAAAGTCCACATGTGATAAGCTCAAAGCTAACTTTTTGAGAAGTGTTATAACAGGGAAACGCAAGTTTCATGGCATTGTACTGTAGCATTGTACATCCTTTTTTAATGTGTCGGAGGCAACTATCCCCTTGGGGAATAAGGACAAGCTAATTCTTGTTGTGTATTGTTCATTGGATAGCCAAAGTGTGAAGGAATTAGCTGCCATACCAACACAGCTTCTGAAACTTTGCCATACTGAATTTAATATATAAGTTTATTAACATAAGTTAATTTAAAATATAAGTTTTTGTTGCCCCTCTTGGATTACAATGAATTCAAAGCTATTTTTGTGTCCAATGAGAAAAAAAAGTTCAATGCTGATTATGACCATGCCATACCATTTCAGCGGCTCTAAAAAACTGCCTTACTGATTGTGATTCAAAAATGTCAAATTTTTCACAAGTCAAATTTCAATATTTTTCAATTGATTTTAATGTCTACAAGTACCATATTGCTTGGATGTCTGAAATGTGAGAAATTAACCTCTTAAGTTAAAAAAAAGATTATTTTTTTTGGAAGTGTGATTTTTAACAGAAATATGTGCCATACTTGTTCTTGAAACACATTTAATGTCTAATATACAAATATATGTGAGCCATACCGATATCATTTCTCTAAGGTGAAGAATAAAACTGAATGTAAGTAAAATGTTTTGAAAATACAGGTGGATACAATTATGTTTTTGTTGTAATTATGCAAACTTTTATTTAAGTATTAATATCTGGAAAAGAAATGTTGCTGTGAAAATTCTATGACAAACAATAATTTAACACTCAAGTATCCTATTTTCTTTTTGGTCACACAACGTTCAAATTTTCAAAAAAAGTTTTTCATTTTTCAAATAATACTGGAACACAACGTTGCACTTAATATTCGAAAGCATTAGTCACCAGATGTGAACAAATGAAAATAAATTTTGATGATATTGTTTAGAATGAAAGGAATTAAAATAAAATTACACTTCACCCAGAAATGAAATTATGGGAAAAACAAGTAAATAATATGCAGCAAAATATATATACTAAATAGATGGGAGAGAACTTGCCAAAACAAAATTAATTTAAAAAAATCAGAAAGATAAATCCAAAATAAACACAAATAAGGAAAAAAGTTACCATCGTAAACATATATATTCTCACTTCAAAGAAAAAAGGACAAGTATTAATTGAGAGGTAGCAGATGACCATAAAAAATTGTCATTTTAACTAGAAAAAGACAACAATGAAATCAAGTAAGATAAATTTAAAAACTAAATAAAAATTAAAAGAACAGGAAAAACAGATGTGGAAGAGGAAACAAACAGACCAAAAGAGTCAAATTATAAAAATAAAGGAAAACAGAACATATTACAAATAAAAATATTTTAGGGTATTCCTATCTTAGACAGAACATTGTCTTACATTTTTGTGAATAAATACAATTCCAATATGGTATAAATGATGTTGTGAGTGTCTTTATATGTATTGTCTGTGTGATTAATCTTGAATATTTTCTAGCTTCATTATCCGTCAAAACAGTAGGGCAGTCAGCATTGAAAGAAAGAGCAAAATCAAGGGAATGTTGAGAAATTGAGTTTAATTTTGCCGATTGGATAATTACAATATAATTGGATTGATATTAAAACCTGTTTTTATTGCATTTATTTTCTGTTTCTACACAGGCACTGAACCGTTAGCCAGTTTAGTACCCGAGGAGAAAGTTATATTTGAACCAAATTCTAAAGCAGTGTCTCGCTTTACTTTGGAGAAAAGTGCCTGTCTATTTACGTGCTATGGGGTGAAGTTAATTTTCAAGTTGCATTTATGTCCAGAAGCAAAACAAGGGTCCATCTGAGCATTTGCTTGAGGATCAGGGAAACTGAATGAAAACCTGAACGAGATGGGGTCATTGACCCAGAAGCTGAAGTACAATACTTGTTACAGGTTCTTTACAATTATACAATCCAAATAGTAAATAATACATTAAACGTCATTGTTAAAATTAATATTACTTTCCTTTGGGATGCTCAGTATAGTCTCTAATTGTATAGAAACAGTTGGGCAGCAGAAAAGATTTTACTTGGGACTTGAACTTTTGTATCAAATTTAATCGTTTAATGTCATCTGGCAAGGTGTAAAATAATGTACATGTATTATATGTCAATTTTTTATAGTAAGCTGTTGATACTGTCACCTGATGAATATGATTATTATGTCACGTGTTGTAGTTATAGACAACGGTGTTTGCTGAAAATATATTCCCGGCCTTAAGTAAGTCATTTTTAACAAAAACCATTGATTCATATATGAAGACACAAGGTAATGATAAAATACCTAGATTAATAAAGAGAGGCTTCAAGAATCACGTGGGAAGGATTTACTTATTATTTGTACAATTCTTTTTTGTAATCTAAAAGTCTGGGAGCTATAAGATGTATTTCCCCAGAATATAATGCCATATCTCAAGCATGAATGAACATTCG